AAAAAACAACTACAGCTGAAAGTTGTAAGATATATTTTAATAAGTTACAAAAGGGTGTTTGTTCTCATGTACCTGTTTTCTTACACTGAACTTTTCAACATCCTGTCAACCTTGTACATTACCATGAAAAACAGATACCATTTAAATAAATGATGTACTTCCTTTTACTTACAAAGAACCTGTAAGATTTCAGTTACTGATGATAGGACTATTTAGGTTGTAAAAAAAAACAAAAAAACAAAACAGCTTTGGCTATTAAGAAATGTAAATTGTATATTAAAATCAAGAAAAACAACGCCGAGATAGAATCCGGTGGCATTTTCTAAAAGCTTTTCAGATAAGTTGACACCGTCCAAGTTCAACAGTATAAAAACAAGTGGATGCATACCCTTTGCAACTGGTGCTTCATAACATGACCAAATGCCAGTACGGCACGTAACAACAAAACGTCATTATATTGCTTTATACACAGGTTATTAGCAAAATGATTAATCATGACCTACGCGTAACAGTTTAAAACACTCTTACTCACAGTAGGCAAAACACTCCGACAACGATTTGTGGAAGAGTACTGACGTCAGGTAAGTGCACCAAAATGGTTTCAGTGTTGTGGCTATATGCACTATTGTAACTTCTCAAACATAGCTTCTTTCTTCTTCTTTTTTTTTTGGTATATAAACATACATAGATACTGAGCCTGTAAGAACTTTATACAAAATATTCAAACAAAAAAAAAAAATGTAATTGCACAGTTTAAAAAAAAAAAAAATTATAAATATTCTGAGCAGGCGCCAGAGTGTACTGAGCAAGTGATTGGTAAATGAAAGATCTGTGAATCATGGTAAAAATATACAGCATTTTAAGTGCATCCTGTTTGTCTTTTGAGGACCGACGGTACAATAATAGGTACGATAACACGCAGTGCCCACAATCATACGCTTTCTTTGCAGATGTTTCTCTAAAAATCATATGGCACACACTGTCCTTATTCCACCGCTGAGCTCTGACAGACGTTTAGTGGATTAAACAAAATGAGCCTCTCTGTGCTCCACCTCTTGGAGGCGTCTGGGCCTTAGTCTCTGGTACACCGGTTTGGCCTGGTTTGGACTCAGTTCCTCGGGGCTCGAGCTGGGAGACTGAGAGATGGCCGCCTGATCCTCCTCGATGTCCCCCTCGAGAGGCTCATCCACAGACACCTCTATCTCAATCCCCAGTTCCTCCTCCTCGTCCTCGTCGTCATCGTCCTCCTCGTCCTCTTCCTCGGCGCTGTTAGCTAACGCACAGTTCTGCAGCGCCTTGGATTTGCTCCCTGAAGGAGGCTTGTAGAAGGTTCCTGGGGGAGGCTGGAGAGTCCTGGGTGCCCTGAAAGCCGTTGCAATGGGGCTGTACTTGGTGACATTGTCCTCCCTCCTTAAAGTCCTGCTGGGTCGCACTGCGACTGTGTAGGGTCTGTTGGGGTACAGGGTGCTAATAGTGTTTCCTGTAGTTCCCAGGGAGAAGGCCGACGGCACAGACGCTGATAAGCTGCTGGCGTCCACCGCTGGGCTCTCTGTGGACGAACTGGCCACGATCCGGACAGTCCTGGAAGTGACGTCATGTTTGTACTGTTTGTCCCAAGTTCTGCGTAACGTCTGGGTGTCGATAAACGTACTCCGGTAATGCGTGCCCGCTCGCAATTTCGGGTTTTCAGTCTCGTCCACCTCTTCGATGGACTGGTCACAGCTGCCTGCTTTCCCGTCGTCCTGCTCGGCGCTGTTCCGGGTGTTGTTCTCGTCTATTTGGCCCCGGCTGAGTATCCGCTCGGCCGGCATGCTGACCGGCCGGGACGAGAGTTTGCTGCGAGGGTGTCGGAGCAGGACCCTGGTGACTGTGATGTGGTGGGAGCGGCTGAGGCCTGATTTGGGGACGTCGGGGACACTTGATGACAAGACTCCGTTGAGGGCCTCTGAATCCATTTCATCAGCTTTAAACAGAGACATCGAAAAAGAGGTTAAACATTAACATATCAGGTGCAATGAT